TAAGGCGGAAGGATCGCCGGAACCCAGCAGGTCGAGGCTGTGGTGGCCAGGAGCAGCCACTGCAATCCAGTCTGGGTGACAGAGTGAGACTCCAACTCAAAAAAAAAAAAATTGAATTTGTTTATTTTTCCAAGTCAAAAATATAAAGTCAACAAGGCGCGGTGGCTCATGCTTATAAACCTAGCACTTTGTGAGGCCAAAGTGAGAGGACTGCCTGGGCCCAAGGGTTTGAGACCAGCTGGGCAACTTGGTGAGACCCTCCTTTCTATAATAAATCAAAAAATTAGTCGGGCATGGTAGCACACACCTGTAGTTCCAGCTACCTGGAAGGCTGAGGCAGAAGGATCACCTGAGTCTAGCAGGTCAAGGCTGCGGTGGCTGTGAGTGTGCCACTGCACTCCCACTTGGGCAACAGAGTGAGACTCCAACTCAAAAAAGGAAAAAAAATGTAAAGTCTCTCCATGTGACAATTTCACCAGTGTCTACGAATACCACCCAGCAGTAGAATTACATAGAAACAAATTGTCAGCAAACTGACAGCTGGCCAGGGAAAACTTGGAAGAGCCTTTTAGAATGTCATTTTTAAGAAAAAGATTTGACCCTTAGAAGACAATTTTTTAAGATATATGCTGTATGGAGAGGTGCAGTGTACACAAGCTGCAAACAAGTAGGCCCTCTATTCATTGATTTCTTTCCCCCAAATAATGGATTTTAAATCTATATGTACCTATTTGCTGGGGTTTTTTCCTAAATTTCAACTGAGCTGCTGTTTTATTCCATGCAATATTGTATACTCAACTGTGTATAGATGAAGCTGGTGATAGCGTCCCCTACATAAATAAGTAATTGCAGTGTTTTGCGTGCAAAATTTAAGTTATGCTGATTCTATTTTGTAAATGGAGAAACAATCCTATCTTTCTAAGCAGTAATGGAAGAAGACTAGTGCTTTGTGCATTTTGTTCTATGTGAGTTTGTTTTTCCACAATGTCATACTTTTGACACAACTGAATTTCTCATAAGTATCCTAGTTCTAAACTTCCAAATGCTAAATAATACTATGTGTAAGCTGTGTGTTGCAAGGACAAATGGAATAATCTTGAATTGTGCTACAAAAATAAAAGATATATGCCATGTCACTAAACATTCTTCTGCACAAAAAGAAAGTGAAAACCTACTTACATCCAATCGGTAGTCCCACTGAGCGGAAGGGCTCATCGTCTCCCCGGAACCCTGCAAGACACAGAGATCAGTGGCAAAGAAGGGGAAGAGCTCCCAGGGCGTCCCCAGGCAAGGCCCCAGCACTCACTTCTCACCACCACTGCTGCGTTGGTCGACACCTGGCCGTGGGCATTGGTCGCCACCGCGGAGTATGTTGCCGTGTCATCAAAATCTGCCCTTTGAGAGAAGAAGCAAGACACAGTCTACGGACCGCTCTGTGAACATCAGCAGCCTGAATCGGACAAAAACTTTCCTCGAAAGCAAATCATGTGACATGGGCCATTGGTCTATGAGTGATTTGTAAGACAATGCCAGTTCTATCCTTGGAGCACGCCGGCTCCTGGGATTAATTATAGACATGGGCAGAGGTCTGATCCCAGACCATGACTTGGCTCTGGCTTTGAGAATGAAAAGGTACAGGTATATCCAAAAATCCTGCATTTCGTTCTCAAGAAGTCCCTGTCCCACCCAGTCCTATTTTTCTACTGCTGTAGAATTCGTGGTCTCATCATGTCCACGGTCAGGCTTTCATGACTTCAGCCACTCCAGAATCACTCCTGATGGGACAAGAAAAGGGCCTGCCTGGGAAAGTCCTGAGTCTCCTCAACGTAGGAGCAAAGAAGTCATCCCAGAAGGCCAGAGCCCTCGGTCACAGAGGCCCTAGCCCACCTGCTGGGAGCCAGCCCTGTGCCAGTTCTGAGGTGGCCCTGGAGCTTGCACCTTGTCCAGTTCTCCCTAGTGGTCCTGACACTCACTAATACTGAGCCTGGGATGCTCTCCCTCCTTAGCGACCCTGGACAATAACCTCAGGACCCATCAAAGTCCCGAACGGAAGTCACCACTGTGTCGGGCATGAACAAGGAGTCCAAGGTATGAGCAGAGACCCATTCACTTCCTAAGTGAGAAACGCCCATTAGAAGAGCAAATTCTACAACCCGCCTCACTCCACCAGAATGCCTGGGCTAATGAGAGATGACATCTGGGATCCCAAAGTCACTTCAGCTCCCAAATAGGACCATCTGCTCAAGAATATATTGACATGTTGGATTCAGCGCTGCCTGAGGCATGGCTGCGTGCTCATCCCTGGAAAAACTATGACTGGGAATGGCTCTCCGGACCCTGAGTCTGTGGGCAGCTCTTCTACCTCCCCACATCCTGCAGAAATCAAAGTTCATGTTCCTGGCTATGAACTGTCTTCCCACCAGCTTCCGCAGGAAGCTGAAACGAAGAATGTTGAGAGGAAGAACTGATGCCTGCAAAACTTGTACCAAACGCTAGGCACTCTGATGGCCACCTCACATTGGCTACTTCTATCATTTGTTCCAGTAACCTGGGAAATAGGGCCATCCCAAGAACATGGTGAGCACATTAACATCTGAAGAATTTGGATAAACCCGGTCCGTATGACTCCAAAATTTGCCTTTCTTATGCTAGTTTCTCACCAAGAAGTGGACATCATGAGCAAAATCTTAATGTGGGAAAAGAAATGACACACACACACAAAAATCCCATTTTCAAGAAAAGGAAAAGTTACTCAAGTCTTACTTTGGCATATCTATTTTTTTTGAGTCGGAGTCTCACTCTATCACCCAGGCTGGAGTGCAGTGACACAATCACGAAGGCTTACCCTTAAATGCATCAAGACACCAATGCCCCCAGACAAAATCCCAGTCTTGGGAAGTCAATTGTCATTTTATTTTCTCTATTCCACTAGGAGGTGGAAATACTTTCATTGACTGAAAAATTAGATTCCTCCAATAAAAGGGAAAGTTTCAGAGACCTGTGCTATCTACCAAGAATGCCTTTCCCTCGTCTGGATGCCATCTGGCCTCCTTAACCACTGTGGCTCCAGGGAGAGATCACACAAAAAGAGCCCAGGCCCTGTAGATTTACAAATGAAGAGCATTATCTTCTAGTTCACCTTGGAGGAATACAAGCTGAACACAAAGTTCATCAACAAACCCACAATTCTAGCCTGAACTCATTAGCAGCTACTCTGCTTTGCACATTCTGGATTCATTGAAAGTACAGCCGTATCCCCAGAGGCAAAGTAACAGGATCTGTAAAACACATAGAAGTCCCATAATGGAGCTGCTTTCTCCATTGCTACGCACTAACAATCTAGCCAATCCACCCACATAGCACGCACGCGCGCGCGCACGCACACAAACACACACACACACACACACACACAAATGCCCACAGGGAACACGGGTGACAGTAGCATCTCTCAGAGCACGCCTGAGGTCTGGGGGTCTAGGGTGGAAGGAAAAATTACTTCTCTGCAGTTCCCCAGGCATTGCTTGATTTTTTTTCTTTGAGTTGTGTTACTTCTCAGAAACAATGAAGTCATTATATTTTCATAAACGCATTCTCCAAACCCGAAGATTTTTTTCTGGAATTAGCCTTAACCCTTCTCCTGCAACAATCCCGCCCCTGCCAACAGTAACACAGTAGATTAGAGAACTGACAGCCAACCTCCCACGGACACAGCTGGAAGTACCAGAACGCCAGAGTGTGCTGAGAATAAGCAAAGCCCTCCGTCAAACTTGCTGGAAGGAAATCTGCCCTAGGTCTGTACTGGGAATATGCGAGGGTCTCAGTCTGAGACTGGGAAGCAAGGAGCTGTGAGCCAAAAGACACCTGTCTAGGGCAGGGCTCCCAGGGCGATTCCAGTGCAGGATCTGCAGGAAGTGACAGGCTGGACTAGGGCACAGCCTGTCCCCTCAGCCCAGCTGGCCACCATCATTACTAACTCCTGAGTGAGGAGGAATTAAAACCTAACCCCTCCTGAGCCCTCCAAGGAGCGTGTACATAGACCGCACATGAGGCATCCAGGTAGTTCCCGTAAACCTTGCCATCTTCCTGAATGCCTCCGCTGAAAGCCCTTCTGGATGTTCTTTAGTATCGATGGTTTTCCAACGAAATCTCCCAAATCGACTGCAAATTTTTCTTCAGTGTGTGTTACACTTTTAAGACTCTGTTGTAAGCATGGACTCAGACACATGATAGACGGGCTCAGCACCAAATCCCAGCAGCACGAGCCTCACGCGGCAGCTTGGTTTGCATGTGCCTGGGTGTCAGACACAGCTTTCCCCACACTCCTGTTTAACTGATTAATATTCTGAGATTTCAAGGAAAAAAATGTTTTCATTTGCAACTACTTTACGAATCAGAATTTTTTCCAGTACTGGGCAATAAAAATAAAATTCAGGGGAAAACAGCCGCTGAGACTATTATCTAATGGCAAACACCAGCCACAAGTTCTCATCTCAAATCTGTGCAGTTATGAGGTCAGCCTAAGAATTCTCATCTCGTGACTGTTTACTAGACACATCCTGTGTATTTTAAATTTCTAGAACACATGTATTTGAGTACCTACACTTTCCTAGGGTAACTTTGATGACAAAACAATGTATTTGAAAGCATTTTGTAATTTTATAACATAATATCACATCTTACCTATTGGCAATTAAAATGTATTAGCTGAATTCCTGGACCAGAAGCTCGAAGAGGGTTCCCTCTGCTCTCTCCTACACAAAGACCCTCTTCTTGCCCTTATTTGAGAACTGCAATTAATTACTGTTTCACCAGTCTTTAGTAGGAAATAGCTAGACAGACACAGGCAGGGAATAAAGCCGGAAATAGAGCAGGTGAAATGAGACTTAGTTGCACCTAGGAGGAAGAAAGGCAGGACGAATTCTGTGGGTGCAGGTGCTGGAGCCAGCAGCATCTCCACAGGACTCTGAACTTGTTCTCAATTGACTTAAGGCGTTCAGATCCCAGGCATTAGCACTGATTAGCTTGTCAAGCGACCAATTAGCACTTAGTGCTTCAAGGTAGCACCACTGGGGAGAAGGAACCCTGCCCCCGGGGGCACCAGCCTCCTGCAGTAATGCGCAAAATGCATGTGTTTGTATACATGTCCACAAGGGAAACCCACAGTTTCCAGTGGGGTCTGTAAAGAACCCATCACCCCTAAAATATTCAGGCCCGCAAGCTGATGGTAGCAGTGGCCCCAGTGGAAGGTGAGCCCAGCCAAGGAAGCATAGGATCACCCTGGGGCGGGCAGGGCTAAGTTAGAGCTATTTAGGTTCCTGTGATCTCATTCTTGTACTCGTTTTAGACGATGTAAAGCATATTAGAATGGAGGTCTGCGCACAGATTATAAATAAACATACAGACACATATTGGGAGGGAGGCGGGGGCACCAAGCATTTGTGCCAATCCACAGATCGGCTGCGGGAATGCAGGGCCTGGGCAGGGAGCAGAACAGGCACAGGGGAAACGTTCTCAGTTTAGTGTTCTGTCCACGTGTCACCTGCAGTGTGCATTTCCAGACCTGACAGGACTCTCCTCCTCTCCCCCTCCCCTTCCCAAGGCCGCACAAAACCACTCAGCTAACCCATGGAGTCTAATTCTAGCCTTGACTTCACGCTGTGAGAACTTGAAGAAAGTGATTAAGAGGCAAGGGTTTTGTTTTCTGTTTGGGCAGGTTCCCAGAATAGACTGAGAGAGTTTTCTTTGGTCTCAATTTATATCAACTTCCAAGGGGCACTCCTGCCTCCCAGGGTCTCGGTTCGAAATGTCCCCAAAACAGCTTCATGGGAGAAACTACTACTGTTTTACTTATCTCAAAAGTGGGCAGAAAAAAGGTTAAGTGACCCACAAATTTCTCATGGGTAGTCGGAGACCCCATAGCCCTAAATTGGTGATGACGTTGTATTTGTAGTGTAACTCAAATCAAAATTTAAATTTCAAATTCTAAAAATAAAGTACAAGAAAAGTTTAGCCCTAAAATTGCCCTGCAAGGAGTAGGGAGTAAGGGTATTACTAATAGAAAACCAGACGGGCAGTTCTAACACTTTTATAAACATGTGAGAACATAAGAGTTATTTGAAGAACTAGGGCTCCCATCAAGAGTCCCACGGGAAAATTTTATGAGCATATAAAAAGTGTCAACTACAAGTTCAAATTCAAAAAGTACCAAGGGGGAGGCTTCCTTTTCAGCACTTTAAGAATTCAGCCACAGTGGCCAAGGAATATTCATAGGAGAAAATGTCACTCATGTAACAGAAGGAAAAGTGCCTTCCTGGGCCAGCTGCGAGGAAGGGTGCCAGCACATTCCTCCACTTAAAATGGCCACAGATCGAATGACCTGCAGTTCAGCACTTTGGTACGAACAGCTGAGACGGGCTGTAATTTGTGGGGTTTTTTCCCACCGCTCTTTTCCTGGAGAATATCAACATTTCATCTGTTTACAAATTTCCCAGTGCCAATAAGAATACTGAGGGAAAGTTGGCCTTGAGAATTGCCTTCTCCCAAATTTCCCAAATATTTGCATATTTATACACAATCCAAGTATATCCATGGAGACCTGAATTCTGTGTCATAGAGTCGTAGTATTTAGGGCCTATGAACCAATTTTATTTCATGTATGAACTCACTCTGTTCCAAGCCCATGTCATTCCCAACAGGTTTAAATGTTGTCAACACCAGTGCAAATAGGACATTTTTCATACTAGAGAAAGGGAAATCATTTTTTTTCTTTTTACAACAGTTAGTAGAACACTCGGGAACAAACTAATCACCGACTCTAACTTACCCCTAACCAGCCATAGTACACCCCGGCTAGAAAACAGACAGCTCTGAAAATCTTAACACACCCCAAATCAAAGGCAGATCTTCTCTTTCTAGATATTACGGTATATGGCCTGTTACAATTTCCACAAACCTTGGAAATCCAAGGAGGTAAGTCACTGTTGGAAGGCATAGCGAGGGCCCATGGCATTTCGACCAGCACCCAGAGCAAGAGCCCCTCGGCCCATGTGACCTCAGCCCAGGTCACCCCTGCCAGCAGCCCACAGCTCTGGGACTACTCAGACCTGTTCTTTCTGGAACACCTAATCCAATCCAGCAGTAGATCCTGCCCACTCTGCCCTCAACATCTGCCTGAAGTCCTCCTTCTTCCACCTCCACTTCTGCTCCGAGCCCCACATCCTTCCTGAACCAAACAGAGCTCCCTAGACCCAGCCTTGGCCCCACAGACTACCTAAAAGCAGAGTGGATATCTGGACTTCCTGATCCTCAGCCCCCTGGGGTCTCCCCTTTCCCTCCAGCAAAGCCAGTGTCCTTGCCAAGGCCTGCAGGGCCTGCAAAATCTCAGAGCCCCTAGCCACACCTCTGACCACCTGTCCCCAACCAACCCTGCAGGGGAGGAAGTGGTGGCCAGCACTTCAGAGCCTCAAGGTCTCTTCATTGGAGGCCCCACCCACCACAGAGCTCTCGGCCCAACCCCTTCACACCCTCAAACCTTGCACAGGACACCTCCTCCATGAAGATTTGCCTGACACCCACCCCCTTCCCCATGCCCGGCACTGCCCGCTCTGATTTGCTGTATACTTCACTTGCCTCTGTGTATGTAGCTGGCCTTCCTGTGCTAGAAAGTAAGCCTGGAAGACTGGCATGCTGGTATGGTAGCTGACAAATCCCAAGCATTTAAAATGGTGCCCAGCTCAGAGCAGGTTCTCCACGCATAGAAGAATCCATGGGAAGGAGAGCTTTTCTAGAGAAACTTGCACTTACCTAGAAAAGCAAGGCATTGACACCCCACACATTTCATCCTAATTACACTTTCAACACCTGTTCAGATGCAGCAATGGTCCCAGCAAGAGAGAGCTCCAGGCTGTTGGGAGAAGTGAGGAGGGGTTTGTGGAGCTAGCTGACTGCCAGGCTGCAGGGCTCAGGGAGGTGACACCAATGGACGACACCAAGGAGTGGACGCCAGGCTTGGGCAACAGGGGATAGGCATCAGGAATAGCTGGCTCAAGCCTTGGCTTCAGCCAGAGTGGAAAAGAGGAGAAAGGAGAAAGCAGGTAGTGGGCAGGGGAAGAGTTGGTGAGGGTGAGGGGGTAAGAAAGGGGTGGAAGGAAAGAAACCAGACAAAACTCGACTTTCTCCTGGGCTGGAAGAGGGGAACGGATGAAGACGCCTCCTAACTGAGCTGAAGGCAAGCTCCTCCAGACCCTCCTCCCGACCAGCCCGTCCCCGGGCACTTGCCCAAGAGCAGGAATCCTACCACATCACCTTGGCTCAAACCCCTCCCTAGACATCCGACGGGGTTCTTCACCCCACCATTCCCAGGGATGTCTGATCACCCCAGCCCACCTTCTGTAAGAATCCTGTTGGGTCAACTTGGCCAGAATCCCCAGCAACCCTGATGCCTTCTCCTAGTAACCTCCACACGTGGACTCCCCCCGCCTCTGGGCTATGGAGCCCCCCGTCTTTGCTGCATTTGGAGCTGCACCCAGTCTTCCCCCACTGCAAGGCCCATTACAGTGCTCTTGAGTGAAGTCTTCCTTACAGTTATGTTTTTGTTTTATGTAGGAATCTTACTCTGTTGTCCAAGCTGGAGTTACAGTGGCACGCTCACAGCTACCGCAGCCTCGACTTGCTGGGCTCAGCCAAGCAATCCTTCCGCCTCAGCCTTCCAAGTAGCTGGAACCACCAGTGTGCACACCATGCCTGGCTAATTTTTTTATTATTATTTATCGTAGAGATGTCTCGCCAAGTTGCCCGGGCTGGTCTCAAGCCCCTGGACTCAGGCAGTCCTTTTACCTCGGCCTCCCAAAGTGCTGGAATGACAGGCATGAGCCATGGTGCCCAGCTTGGAGTCTTCCTTATAAATCTTTAACACATTTTAAGACAACTTTTAACCAGGATCCAATGTAGCTTTAAAAATAATAATAAAAGAAAAAATACTTTCACAATAAACATGCATCTGGAGAGAAGAAGATACAGGTATGATAAACGCTCACACTATGCCATCATGTGACTCCTCTAATATCCCTCTGGGAGTTAAGGGATGTGTTTGCCTCCAAGGAAACCACACCTAATTATGATGCGGGCACGGCTTGACAGTTGAGTTATAATAAATCAATACAACCATATGTTTGCATGACTCGCTTATTTTTTACATAATTCATACTAATATCACTCATCTTTACCTAGACAGGATTATGATATAACCTACTCTACACCCACAAGCACACACACTTCCCTTGCATATACAACATGCATCTTCTTCTTTGATTCTCACAACTGCTCTATTAGGCAACTGAAGAAGATGCCATTTGTACCATCTGTCTCTCAATAATTACTTTCAGACAAGCACATTACCATTTGGGAAGCATCAATGGCATATCAGAGCCATAAGCAAATAGTGAGCCAGGGATCCAAGCCCTGGCCTAGACTCCGGGACACACGTGGGCTTTTTACTCTATGACCCATTGGGCTAAATAATTAATGTTAGAACCATGAGAAGATGTCATGATACACAGCTGATGGAAAAAGGCAACTCACATTGTATGGATGATCCTTTTGTAAAAAATAAAAATCATGTATGCAGAGAAACAGAAAAAGAATGGCGGGATCTCGCTATTCTTAAAAAGACAAAGTATGTGTGTTGGGTGAAGAGGAAGAAATGCCAGACATATACCATAATCCTGACCCTGATGTTGGACACACATATAGCTTTCTGTTATTTGTCTGTACTCTGTACAATGCTTCAATTTGTCGAAAGAAGGTTCCATTCCTTCGAGGAATCTGGACTCTAGTATTGTCACTCATGCCCGGACTAGGGTGTCAGTGAAACCACGCTCCCCACAGCCACTTCACCAGGACGCTCCTACCTTCCATGAACCATTCATGGTCTTTGAATGTGCATTCCTCGGGCCAGACACCAAGCACAAGCCCAGGGAAGCTTCCAACACCCTTTCAGTGAGCCCATGGGTATAACCCTAAAGCCACCTGGAGTGCAAATAGACCTCCAGAATCCCATTACATCCACTCTCTTGGGTTCAAAATGCTGCTTCCTGGGCACTGGTGCCCAGAGACACCCCGCCCCACATACCTGTTGATTTCCAGTGTGTGCACTCCGTAGTTGCTCTCAATTCTGTACTTTCCTGGCTCCGCTGCCTGGCAGATCAGGCTATCATCTTTGTACCTACACAAAGAAATGGCGTTTTAGTTTAAAGGCAGGTTTCTGGATGCAGGGTTTTGCCCAGGCTCACACGGCCCCGGTGGTGTGTGCTGGCCTTTCTGCTTTCCTTCTGCCATGGGGGGGAGAGAGCAGTGCCCACACTCATTTTGGTTCTTAAGAAGAGTGTAGCACTCGCAGAATTTAGACTGTCTGGGCCTCCAGCCTGTGGCAGATGGCAGTCCAGAGTCCACTAGGCCTTTGCTAGAAACTAGGAGGTAGAATTCCATGAGAAAAAATGGTGTTGGGTCCCAGGACAGCCTTCACGGTCTCAGCACAGGGGAAGACGCGGGTTCTTTGTAGGATCTCCCAACTAGACCCTGGCCAGAGCCTCTGGCCCCACCTCTACCCAGGGGCCAGGACTCCATCCATCCAGCATTTGGGCTTCAAGAGTGGGCATGCCTCAGCCTCCCCAGCTGCCCCCAGATAGCAGCTAGCCCCTCTGCTCCTGGTCCGTGGCTGAGAGCCCCAGTCCGGGTACAAATGAACACACACATATATATATATATAATCCCAGCACAGATGTTGGAACCAAAGGGGTCTGTAGAACTTACAGATTCAATTCTGCCATTCCAATACAGTTCTATGACTGCAGCCCAGTAGTCCCCGAGCTTTGGATCTAAAGTTCCCACTGCGAGTTTTCCCATCGTTGGCAGCAGAACCTTAGCTCTGCGTAATCGGCTACTGGGCAGATGCAAACGCAACAGCCATGCTCACGTCAGGGAGCCGATTTTTAAATTAAAATCCTCTGAAGAATCAGTTGAATCAACATCACCAAAATAAAAATACCTGTGCATTATTTAGGAGGGGGAGCCCCCCCAAAATAAAATTTATTTATTAAAAAATTGTGTATCTGTTCTTACACGTTTAAATTTCGGTCACCTCCAAAGTACTCTCTGTTGGATGCAATATACCTATTGAGACACTTTTTCCACTGCTCAAAACCATTTTTGAACTCGTCAATTTTGATGCTTTTTAGTGCTTCTGCCAGTTTTTGTTTCATCTCTTTTATAATATACCAGGAAAACATTTCCCTTTGAGGACTTTTTTCATCCAGGGAAACTAAAAAAAAAGTTTCGCAGGTGAGATCTGGTGAATAGGGAGGGTAGAGCATGGGGATCATTGACCTTCCATATGACCCAGCAATCCCCCTTCGAGGAATATACCTGGAGGAACTTAAATCACTCTACAAAAAAGATACCTGCCCACGCATGTTTATTGCAGCACTATTTACAATAGCAAAAACATGGAACCAACCGTGCTGCCCATCGAAACTGGACTGGATTTTTTTAAAGTGGTACATATACATGATGGAATATTACGCAGCCATAAAGAAGAACAAAATTATGGACTTTGCAGCAACTTGGATGGATTTAGAGCCTATGATACTCAGTGATTTATCACAGAAACAAAGAACTGTGTACCACATGTTCTCACTCATAAGCAGACCCTGAACATTTACCATAATACTATAAAAAAAGAGATTGGCAGGAGCCAGAACCTGGTGGGGGGGGGGCATATAGCATTAATAAGCATACCTGATTTCAAGCCAGGCAAAATGCAGGCCAAAGGGAGGCCCAAACTTTACCTGTACAATGACCACTTGTATACGTAATCCCGAATTGTACCCCACATCTTTAAATTAAAATAATCTTTTTAAAAAATTGAACACTCAGTGCAGTGTGGGCAGGTGTATTGTCATTGTGGAAGAACCAGTCACCTGTTTGCCATAACTTGGGACATTTCTTCCACAAGTTGTGATGCAACCTTCTAAAAACTTCCAGATAAAAACTTTGGTTGAACACTTGATCCAGAGGAACAAATTTCAAGTGTACCACAAGGGGCCCACCCTCCAAAAGATAATTCCAGATTTTTTGGGTCACCCCCTCCTAAAAGGGACATTTCATGAGTTTTCATAAACATATCTCCTGCATAAGATTGTGAGCACAGTGGTCACAGAAGGGCTCAATGGCCGGCTCTTCCCTTGTGGGATCTGCTGAGAGGAAGCCTGCTGGCCCTGCCACCCCAGGAACCCCAGAGTCCTCACCACTGTACCACAGGTGTGGGGAAGCCTTGCACTGTGAAGCACAGTCGCACCGACATCTTTTCCCAGACGGTGTGGGACCGCAGGCGCACTAGGATTTCAGGGGCCCTGCTGATCCGCTCTTCAAATGCATGCCTCTCCCAGGCCAGCTTGCTCTCCACCTGCCAGGATGCAAGGATGGTCAGGTGTGGCCCAACAGGGGGCTCCCAGGCCCTGCCCCCAGGCCAAGCAGGCACCATGCAGACATGCTACCATCTAGCTCATGCTACCAACGGACCCACACTGCCATCTGGCCATGCTACCATATAGCCACACTACCATCTGGACCATGCTACCATCTAGTCTATGGCTATCATCTGGCCCTCACTACCATCTAACCCATCCTACCACCTACCCCACACTACCATCTAGTCCATGCTACCATCTAGTTCACAGTTACCATCTAGCCCACCCTATCATCTAGCCCATGCTGCCATCTGGTCCACGGCTACTATCTGGTGTTTGCTACCATCTAGCTCTCACTACTGTCTAGTCGACGCTACCATTAAACCAATGCTACCATAAATTGCTTGCTACCATCTGGTCCTAGTGACCTTCTGGTTCACACTACCATCTGGCCCAAGCTACCACCTGGCTCATGCTACCATTCAGTCCACACTACCATCTAGTCCACACTACCATCTGGCCCACACTATCATCTAGCCCAAGCTACCACCTGGCCCATGCTAACATCTGGCCTATGGTACCATCCCACCCAAGCTACCACATGGTCCATGCTACCATCTGGTTCATGATACCATCTAGTCCGCACTACCATCTGGTCCATGCTGCCATCTGGCCCAAGCTACCACCTGGCACATGCACCATCTAGCCCACTCTACCATCTAGCCCTCACTACCATCTAATCCACACTACCATTAACCCAATGCTACCATCTAGCCCTCACTACCAGCTAGTCCATGCTACCATTAAACCAACACTACCATCTAGCTCATACTACCACCTAGTCAATGCTACCCTCAAGCCCTCCCTATCATCTAGTTCACACTACCATCAAGTCCATAGCTCCCATATAGTCCACGCTACCATCTGGCTCTCACTACCATCTGGCTCTTTCTACCATCTGGGCCATGCTACCATCTGCCCCTCACCACCATCTTACCCATGTTACCATCTGGCCTATGCTACCATCTAGTCCACGCTACCATCTGGCCCATGCTATCATCTAGTTCATGCTACCATCTGGCCCATACTACCATCTAGCCCACGCATCTCAAAGAGACCCCAGCCCCTCCTACCATCTGCTGAATGTCGTATTTGTCCAGCTTTTCACGGGCCTGGGACCGCGCCAGGTGCAGGTTCTCCTCCATGTGTGCCAGCTCACTGAGGAAGCGCTCCCGCTTGGCCTCACCATAGGAAGCCACCAGGGACCGGTACCTACAGGAGCAAAGAAGCCACGTTATTCCCAGGATGCACTCAGGACACGTGGAAAAGACCACGTAGTCACTGAAGGCTTAAGGAGTAGACTGGTCCCTTTCTCAGGGTTTTCTTAAGAGGGTGAAGGAGACAGCAGAACAAGTTATTTCTGCTTTTTGATTGTTGTTGTTTTAAAATATTTTAACATTATTATTAGTTTATAATATTACTCCAATAGATTGTGTTAAAGACTGTGATCACTAACACAGAACACAATGGGGCTAACGGCAGGTTGCTTGCAGGACCGGCCATGGCTCACACAGTGCTGCCCTCAGCACAGGCGGCAGGGGCAGGGAGAAGACAGGTGACATCAGACCCTTAGAAGTGGTTTAATAAATGTTATCCAAAAGCAACATGGAAAATAAACCCTCCAGAGCAGCAGTCCCAACCTTTTTGGCATCAGGGACCAGTTTCACAGGAGACTATTTTTCCACAGACAAAGGAGGGAGGATACAAAGTCAAACTTCACTGCTAATGTTAATCTGTGTTTGCAGCCGCTCCCCAGTGCTAGCATCATTGCCTCAGCTCCACCTCAGATCATCAGGCATTAGAGTCTCATAAGGAGTGTGCAACCTAGATCCCTCACGTGCACAGTTCACAGTAGGGTGCACGCTCCTGTAAGAACCTAATGTCTCTGCTGATCTGACAGGAAGTGGAGCTCAGGCAGTAATGCCAGCGTTGAGGAGTAGTTGTAAATACAGATGAAACTTCCCCTTGCTTGCCGCTCGCCTCCTGCTGTAAGGCCCAGTTCCTAACAGGCCATGGACTGGTACTGATCTGCGGCTGGTGATGGGGAACCCCTGCTCCTGAGCACAGTCATCACAGGTAAACTGAATGAAATCCAGTTTACTCAACCAAAAATTTAGAGAGAAAGAAAATATTGAAACAACAAAAAGCAGTGTTTAACACTAGCAGTGAATAAATGTGCACAACAATTCAGTCTGTGTAATATGATGCATTTCTGCTTATTTTTATATCTTTCTGTCAAGAACGCATTCTGGTATGTACATACCGTACATGAAGAAGCTGTAAAGAAGGATGCATATGTGGTTTATAAGTAAAACAAGTATCAGAGAGACATGCTCCAACTTCTTTTCACCACTGAGCATGCACAATGAAGCCAGCTTAAAAGTATGCACGGTGCTTTTGGAGGCAGCTGGGCATGGCCACATGTGAGTGTCACTCTCGTCTGGCCCTGTCAAGCACTGGAAGGGATGTCTACATGTGGTGGACCTGGATAGACAAATACCAAAACACCACAGACACTGGACCACAGACACTGAGTCTCCTTAAAAATAAAGACATGTTTACTCACCTTCATGTACATAGTGATTCACATACAGTAGGTGATCAATAAAGACCATGCAACTGTGAGCAATCACTTAACCTTTTCAGATTTATAAAATAATGAGTTTGGCTGCCTTCAGGATTGGGTTAGGTGCCTTTAAAGTCAGCTCCAATATGATACAACAGTTTAAGAAAATAGTGAGTTCCTTGTCTGTAAGTTTTCTTCTGCAGGGCAGCACATAAAAACCGTTTGTTTTCCTGGGGAGGATGCATTTCTGAGTGAACTCAAGAATGAATTAAAGCCTTCTGAATAACAAATACAGATAAGAAGTCTGTACTTAAAAAATAAATAAAAAGGATTAAATAAAAGATTCAGCATCTTCAATCTGTAGGGACAGAAGAATGTCACCCCCATGCTTTATGACCTGCATGTCATCTCTGAGAACACCAAGATTACACCCTGTCCTGCTGGCCTGGAGCTACCTTCACGCTCTGAGATGCTCTTGAAACCTTAAGCAGCTATTCCCAGGCTCACCTCTGCTTCACCACTGCATTCTTGAGTTCCCATGAACACTAGGATGCATGCTGCTCTCTTATTTCTTGGGATTCTCTTCCACTAGTGAGAAAGCTCTCCCTCTCTTCCCTTCCTATCAAAATCATGCCCTTCTTTCAAAGTCCAGCCCAAAAGCCATCTCTCCATGAAGCTGCTTCTAACCCCCTTCCCTCCCCTTTGAACCCCAAACCTCCTCTCATGTCTCTCATGGCCTTTGTGATCATAATTTGCATTCGTATTTATCCCCTAAGAGATGGGGTCAGCCGCTTCTCATCTTTGTGTTCCCCAGATGTCAGTGCACAATTGCCTAATAAACATTCGTTTGTCTAGATTAGGACGGGAGGTGAGGAGAGGAATCAGGAGTGTACAGGACTGCCTGGGACGGAATAGAGTCGGAGACGAAAGACAGCCATGCAGAAAAGCGCTCTGTGGCATCAGTGGACATGGAATAGGTGGCTCAGTCAGGTCCGCCTTGTACTGTAAAGTCCAGATATCAGAGCTGCGCCATGGCCGTCTAAGGTTTCACTGCAGACCAGTGAGAAAGCCTGTCCTAGAACCAGGGAGAGGGACTCCCATCCGAGGCCCTTTTCACAACCCACATGGCCACCAATGGGTAAACAGTTCCCCAACATGAGCAAAACTAAGACGTAGTGCTAGGCATTTTGGAAGTTTGAGATCAGAATTCCGGAAAATTCTGCAGCCTTTTCATACAGCAATGTGGTGTGGGAGGAACTACAAAATCGAGACCATGAGGCAGATGTTGACTTACCCTCCTTCTCTCTTCTAAAGAACCCATGGAAGGCCTCACACCTCCCCATCCCACTCCCTCCTCAGATGTGAGGGACATCTCCTGCTCAAACTTTCTGCATGCCCTCTGCAGGGTGGATTTCTCCCAACTCCTGACTGCTGACCACTCCTTGTCCTGTTTTCAGTGCAAAGATCCCCCCCTAAGAGTCTCTCCACCGGGCACACCCCAAATCACAGCCCACAATTCTCTTCCATGACACCTTGTCCTTCTTCTGTAGGGTATGGGCCACTGCCATCAGCACATGTGCCTGTGTGCTGACCCACAAGAGCTCCGTACTGTAACTCTGGGTGCCCACCCCACGGGTGAGAAAAGACCCGCTTGATTTCCCTTCACACCCGGTGGAGTTCTAGAAACACGTATTCAGGAAACGTGTGAATGCCTCATGTCACCTGAGAAGTCTTGTGGGGAATAAGCCTTCTTATCTGCCACAAACCCCACTGAATTTCAGAGACAGAAAGACAAATCTCTGTCTATGCCACACATTGTTATGATAAGCTTAAAGGATCAGAAGACCTCTCTAGAAGCTGATTAAAATTTCTTTATATTTGAATTACCAGAGCCCCGCTCTATTCTGAAGTCAATAGCACCACCATCCTCTGACACTTTATGACTCACAGTAAATATTCGTTCTGGAATTTCTTCCCCCACCCAAACCCAGTCAGTACATTGAGGAAATATTTCTACCAGCCCGTGATCAGCTGACCTGACCCGAGCCCTCATGTGCAGAGTTAAGCCATTCATCATGCACCTATTTTAAATGATGAGCCCCAGGACAAACCACCTTCATTTCTGAAGGACTGAAGGACTGGAGGAAGGCATCTGGGGACATTTCTAATTGGCGTGTCTTCCAGAAGGACGTGTTGAGGTCCTTCTGTGCACTCGATGTCTCTGCAGTATTTGTTTAACACGAGATGTCAGCAGTACTTCAAATTGATGAGCCCACAATTCCATCTCTCACAAAGGACCAAATTGCCCAGAACATTAAATTAGTATCCGCCACAGGAGGAAAGGGATGCCCGAATGCTGGCCCGAACCCTTGAGCTAGCAGGAGCAGTGCATTGTGATGACAGGGGCTGGAGTTCATGGACACGTTCACACACCTCCGTGTGGCACTCATTCAACCCCCTGCATCCTCCAGCATGGCAGGAGCAGAACAGGCAGCCAATAAACTCAATTCACACAGGCCCGACTCCCAGAAATCCCCTGTGATAAGCATTTGTCTTAAAGGAGGAAGAACCAATTTCAAAAAGCTCTTTCCCACGGAAACTATGCCTATGGGCTGGGAGGATGAAACACATGATGCTGCTGAGATGTGCCCGACGCACATGCTCGTGCCCTGGGCCAGAGTGAGGCAGTCCTGCCTGGTCCCTTCCCCACCGCATGCAAAGGGCCTGGCATTTAACCTGAGCATTAGAAGTACAGTAGAGCTCAGACCATCATCAGCAACTCAAACTCCTTCTCCGAGTCAGATTTGCCATGGCAAGAGGGTAGCCCAGTGTGTCTTAGAAAATTCCCAACAGCCAGGACTGTCAAGAAGGTCACTGTATGAGTCACATCGATTCCCTCCTGACTTTGCACATTACCATTTTATCAGTGGGGAAATCGAGGGACAGAATGTTTACACAATATGTTCAAGGTCACACCAATGTATTATTGATAAGAGTAAAATAACATATCTCAACTCTTCTATCTCTAGCCCTCAAAACTCCTACCCTTAAACTTATAACCATAGAAGAACCCTTTTAAAGACAACATCAGGTGGTTTTCACATCTACATTCTGAAGAGATTCTTTTACGAAAAACGTCTCCACTCTACAATAAAATTCATTTACACAGCAAAATTTTCCTAAGGTATTTTTAAAAATAATTCCAATGTTGAGGAATAAAGGTTCATCTTTTGAGCTTTGCATTGTTTATATTAAATAGTTTATTACATAATAATGCAACTTTCAGAATGAAACTTGCTTACCCAAATCTTATTTTTCCTTCAGCTTTTAAGTGTCTGGAGACATAGAGAAAACTTCCGATAAGCAGTAGGAGATGCGGTGAAAACAAGGATGTATAAAATGAAGCATTTGTGAATAATTAACTGTTCATTTTATTCTTAAAAGATCAAAGTACTATCCCCACCTGTTTCTCCGTCATCTGGGAATAATTTTAAGACTGACACTTTCACTAATCCACCTCATTCCTATGACATTTTGCTCTCATGAGCTGACTCTGTTGAAATGTAAGGTATGGCAATTTATAGACTCGCTTCGCAACCCTGTAGTCTCCACGCAGACAACTGTTAAAACCCTGGCTGCCCTTTCAGAAGGTGACCTTGTTTGGATGCACAACCCTCCCCTGGTCTTGAAGCTAAAGGGGTTGTGAGTGGAAGTTCAAAATCAGTCTCAGACTGTCAGATATGACATTTCCAAGTGTGGTTCCCCTGCTCTGTGTGGGAAGGGGTGAGCTTGGTATGGACACCGCAGAGATCTGAGATCAACCACTAACTTGAGCATGACCCAGAATCCTCTGGACCACATATTCCTAGAATGATAGGGGGACACCAGCCCAGAGTTCTTGTAGAATTGCCTGAGATAATGGAGGTAAAGAATGAGCAGATGACTAGGGAATGGCAGATGTCACTCTCACTGCAAGCCAACTGCCCTTGGACCACCCCTCTCAGCCACCACACCCCTCACCCTCTCCCCGCCCACGGCCCCTCCCATGGCAGAGGGACACCACACACTTACCTTTTTTTGCTTTCATGCTCTTCCTCCTCCTCGGCGCTCACCCGTTTTGCACAGAGCCTGCAGGTGGTTCCCCTTGAGGACGTGTGGCTGGATGCTCTCTGCGAAGACAACTGCTGCGTGAGCGACTTCTGGGTCAAGGACTGGGCCGAAGCTCGCCTGCATGGACATTGGAGCAGTTAGAAGGTGCACACACTGGGAAATGACGATGTGTCTCCTGACACACGTCACTTCTTTCTATACACCCAACCCATCCCTGCAATCCACACATACACACAGAGCACATGCACACATGAAGGTACATTTGCACACACACAAACCCAACCCCATGTCTCTGTGGGTCCACATCCACCTCTCAAATATGCACCATCCCTGGAAAGCCTTGTCACTGGCTTCACTGTGGCCGGTGCCCCTCCCTTCAATGCCAGCCAGCACCATGCACAGTCATTTGGCTCCAAGCCGTGATTATATATCTTAAACTTGAGCTCCCGAGGCTGCTGGGAGGGCTGTGCATGTTTGGTTTTGTTGGTTACAAGGGATGGCAACTGAATAAAAGTACCCCAAGCGTTTCTAAATATAGGGTGCTGGTGACAGGAAGCAGGCCCCTGGGTTGGGGCGCCTGCCCATGGTCCCTCTACTCCCCACGGCAGCCTTCCCATCTGTGCACTAAAACCCAGATCCGCAGTGGCACAAACCATGTCTGCAGGCATGTGTGCAGGTCTTGGGGAGATGCCCTCCAGGAAACTGCAGCACACACAGCTGGACGCCAGACTCAGAGGCTGGGGATGCACCAACGCTTAGTGCATTGTTATCAACTAGGCGGAACCATCATGAGTGCTGGTCCTGTGCCGTCTTTACTCAAGAAAAGCCACCATTCATGTCTCTCCTGCCCACACCCTTTTCCCTTCATTTCCTTCTCCTTGCTCTCTGTTTTGGGTGGCTTTTACAGCCTGGACGATGTATGAGGAGCAGTGAAATCAGTGAACTCATACCAAGGAGGATTGGGCTCCCCATCTCAACCAGGCTCAGAGCCAGGCCCCAGGACTGGCCAGGACACCCTTTGAGTTCCCCTCCACCATCTCCCCCACCACCCACCAGAGGGGCTGGTCACCATGTGCTGCTCTGCCATGGGACATGGGCATCAGGGGATACCCCATCACTCTCCTCAGACTCCTTCCGAAATATTTCCTCTCCAGGCTCAAGGGACTGGACAGAGAGCTTCCTGCCTTAAATGTCAGACCCCATGATCAAGACTGTATGAGTGTGATCAGCGAGTGTCCACTTACTTCTTCGAAGCATATTCATCCAGAAGGTACCTCGTTTGAATATTACGATAGGACTGGTCAAAGTGTCTGTGTCTTTTTTGGTAGAAGGGGACTGCCACAAGTGACATCCTGGCAAGCTCCTACAAAGAGAGTCACACACCGCACTGAGCTCCTTTCAAACATGGCAGCCTCTGCACTGTCTGCATGCACAGCCTGCAACACTTCAAAGGGAAAAACCGACTCTGACTAATAAAACTCACTTGGGGATGGGGTAGGGAGGTAAAAGAAAGATTACATAGGTGGAAATTATCTCAGACTAGGAGTCAGAAGGCCTGGTAACTTCACAGGGACCCTATTTTATTTTATTTTCCATAAAAATTGAAAGAGTAGGACCAGGCACAGTGGTTCATGACTATATTCCCAGGATTTGGGGAGGCTGAGGTGGGAGGATCATTCAAGGCCAGGAGTATGAGATCAGCCTAGGCAACATAGCAAGACCTCATCTCTACCAAAAAAAAAATTTTTTTTTTTAAACTAGCTGGGTGTGGTAGCGCTCACCTGTAGTCCCTAATACTCAGGAGGCTGAGGTTGAAGGATTGTTTTAGCCCTAAGAGACTAAGCCTGCAGTGAGCTGTGACTGTGTCACTGCACTATAGCCTGGATGACAGAGTAAGACCCTAACTCAAAAAACAATTGGAAGAGTAGGGTGTATGTTTCACTTAATTGTGAACACGACAGATATTTACAGAGTCCCTGGTGTGCTTAGGGCAACGCTCACAGCAGTGTGAGTGAGAGGGATAAAAATAATAAAAACACAGATTAGAGAAGTAAACAGGCACTCAGAACAAGAGAGAAGGTGGGATGAGGGCCAGTCACAGGGAGATAGAAAATGTCCTGGACAGGACAGCAGCGGAGTCACAGCAGCAGAGGACAGCCCTCATGGCCCGGGAAGCGGGTGGCATTTGAGAGGAGGCTTGATAGGCAAGTAGCCCTGGCAGGAAGAATGGTGTTAGGGATGACCCAGGGGCAGAGGTCAGCAGAAGAGGCCAGGACCATGGGATCTTGAGGGCTGTGAGTAGAAATTCCTCACAAAGACTGCGGCAACCACATGCAGAGGCGTCCAGCGTCTTTCTGCCTTGGGAACCAGGCGTTGCTCGGTGGCTCCGAGGAAGCTTGGGAGAAGGAGCTGGTCTCCAAGATAGATTCCATCATCTGCAGTCCTGTCTCCCTGGCTACTGTAGACAGGTTTAGAGGGTGTGAAGGAAGGGCTGGAGCCCAGCACCACGGCCTCAGGGGTGGGGAAGTGAGCAAATCTGAGTGAAATTCTCCCAGAACAAGAAATAACCGAGCTCCACCCCAATCTCTGGGAGTCTGAGGTATTACAGGTGTTAGACATGGCTATTTCCTGCACATTTTCACCCCAAATAAAAACATCCCGGTGTACTGAGTTATCCGATCATCTCCGCAAAGTCATACAGACACAGATTTGCAGAATCTCTGTGAGTGTTCACTTCCCAAATACGGTACAAAAGAACTCCAGGGCCAAAGCTCCATCTTTGTCTTTTCTGTTTAAATCAGAATAATCTGCCCTGTCTTAAAGAAAGTGCCCTGGAGAAACACTCACGCCCAGGGACGTGGAGACTCCAGAGAGAAAGACACCAGGAGCAGCTCGAGGTGACAGAGCTCCTTTCCACCCTGCAGTGCTGTCCAGATCTTTGGGGTATGAGTTAGAAACCTACCAGAATCCTGTAATCCCGCACTTTGGGAGGCTGAGGTGAGTGGATTGCCTGAGCCCATGGGTTCGAGACCTGCCTGGGCAACAAGACCCGCCTGGGCAACTAGACCGCATGTCTACAATAAATCAAAAATTAACTAGGTGTGGTAGCGTGTGCCTGTAGTTTCAGCTACTTGGAAGGCTGAGGCGGAAGGATCGCCGGAGCCCAGCAGGTCGAGGCTGCAGTGGCTGGGAGCGTGTCACTGTACTCCAG